GGCCCGGAGCAGCCCAGCTTCCCAGAGGTTACAGGATACTGGGGATCAAGAGGTTCCTGAACTAGCCCAAAACCCTGTGATGGGAAAGAGGTGGCAGTTACAGATGGAGCTGTGAGCGACACTATGACCCTGTCCACTTGTACCATCACAGTGCTGTCCTGACACCATGGACATCAGTGTGAGCCTGGTGAGCCTGGGCATTGGTGGAGCTACCAGAATTCCACAGGGCTCCAAGCAGTGTGGGCAGGGTCCCTCTGAAGACGTATAGGGGATGGAACTCAGTGCCAGACATAGGAAGCACCGCCTGGTGCCAGCTTCCCCGTGTACACCTCTGGGCTATTAATGTCATGGGGTGTATCTGTACATCCAGTAGGTGCTAAATAAATATTTGTCAAATAAGTGAAATGGGGGTTGGATTAAATGAGTCAGAAGTAGGCTACCCTTTATCAGCTTTTGGGGGGCTAGATATTGGGTATCTTTCTTTCCTTTCTTCTCTCCCCCCATTTCCTTCTTATTTTCTGCTGAAGCCCAACCCTTGTTTGCTTTTTTGAGGTAGGTCTTGCTGTGTAGACCTGCTTAGCCTCAAAATCACAGCCATCCACCTGCCTCTGCCTCTGGAATGCCAGGATTAAAGGCTTGCGCCGCCTCAACTGACTGAACTCTTGTTTTTTTAAGATGAGGTTTCACTACATAGCCCAGGCTGGCTTTGAACTTATGATCCTCCTGCTTCAACCTCTGGCACGTGCCGCCATGGTGACATAGCCTTTCCCTAATCCCCATTCTGTCTTGAGAGCTTGTTGGCTGGGACAGCCTGTGCTGTCTGGGACAGGTTTCCTGTTTAGATGTGTGAACAGATACACAAAGGGAAGAATATAAAATAAACAGTCCAGACTTTCGGAGCCTTCCAAACTTTCGCTAACTAAAACCATCTCCGATTCAGAGGAGAGGGACCCCACACTTTCTCTTTCATTTTTCTGCAACCTAAAACTGCTCTAGGGATTCCTGTGACCCTGTGGCACATGCTTGTGGAGAGTCTTCCAGCTGCTACAGCGAGGACACCCGGATAAAATCACACTGGCTTAGAAAACTCAAGACTCACTGAGAAGCGGCCGCAGGATCAGCGCCCTGCACCTGGTTCTCAGATTCTTGGGTCCCATGTACTCAAGCGTGTCCTTCTACCAGGCTGGTGACTGGTGACCAAGACCTCAGCCAGGCTGCTGGAACCTGCTCAGCCTTGGTGGGCTAGGCAACACCAGGCAGTTCTCCCACCAGAATACAGCCCCTAACCAGCAAGGGATGGGGATTTATGGCAAAAGGCTCCAGCCCTGCATGCCTGTGCTCATCGTTTGGGGGTTCCCTCGCCTCCCCTCCTGCCTCACTCCCCCACTGGTGTCTCTAGCATCAGCTTCCAGATGACTCCGTCTTATCACTCCCTTGTCCTGGGTCTGGGTTAGAGCCTCTGGCTTGATTCTCCCTCTCAGGAACAGGGAATTTAACAGATTTAAGTACGGAAGTGGCGAGGAACTGGCTTCGGACTGAGTTGGATCCGGGACCCCACTTGCATCAGGCTCAGATCAGCCAGGCACGTTCCCAGTTTTTTCTTTTGTCTTCGGCCAGGGCTCAGGGAACGTTTCAGAAGAGGTGGAGAGGAGGTGAGAACCAGAGCAGGGAAGGGAGCAGTGTGAAACGCTCACTGCCAGGCATGCAGTGGGGATTACCTGCCAAGAAGGGGCTCATAGGGTCCCACCTCTCTCTGAGGATAGTGGTGGATGGGTAAGGGGTAGACATTTTTCTTCAGTGTGTAGACACTCATGCAACTCTTTGGAACACAGACACACACGCACACATGTACACGCACACATGTACACACATGCATGCACACATACACACACACACACACACTGGAGCACACACACATATGCACATGCATACACACACACACTGGAGCACACACACACACACGCACACTGGAGCACACACACATATGCACATGCATACACACACACACTGGAGCACACACACACACACACACACACACACACACACTGGAGCACACACACACATATGCACATGCATACACACACACACACACACACACACTGGAGCACACACACATACACACACACACACACACACACTGGAGCACACACACATATGCACATATACACACACACGCACATGCACATGCACACATGTACACATATGCATATACACACACACACTGGAGCACACACACACACTGGAGCACACACACATATGCACATGCATACACACACATACACACACACACACTGGAGCACACACACACACATACACATGCACATGATGCACATCATGAAAGTTGGGAAGAGGACGGGAATTAGTGAGAGTGGAAGGGAACAAGAGAGCAACCGGGGAAACATAGACGAGACACATTACACACGTGTGTGAAAATACCAGAATGAGCCCATTAATACCCATGATTAATCTATGCTGATAAAAAAAACTTTAGGAAAGGAAGAAAATCAATTCACCCAGACTGAACCAGTTCAGGCCACGTGACAACCATCAACTCAGTCATGGCAACTAGGCGTGTAAGGACCAGGCCACACGCACCTCCTGTCTCATGCCTGAGTAGGGAGAGCCCCACAGACTACTGTGTCTACCGAGATGTTGTCGACGTTGGCCTCAAAATAGGGAACCTCGGACGGTAAAGGACAGGACTCTCAGGGGACCGGGGCAGCTGAAGAGCTGTCGGGTGGACAGAGAAGAGACAGAGCCGCTGGGGTGGGGGAAAGCGGTCATGGAGCCCTCCTGCCGGACGGCCAGCTCCTCCCCGACACGGCTTTGTCGCTCGACTTTCATCTGCCACATCAGAGACTGTGACGTTTAAAAATAGGATTTTTTTTTTTTTTAAGAAGGTGAAAAGCAACTGAGACCCCGTCGGGATGAGCAGGGTGACTGTGCCAGCCGCTCACTGAGGGCTGTGGAAGGACAGTGAAGCCCTGCGGACACCGGTTGCTTTCTCGTTTCGAGGCCTCTTCCCACACTTGACATCTCTTATGATTTATGAAAAACAGATTAAAGTTCAAGTATCAGTGGGATTACATCCTGCTGTGAGTGACCCAGGCTCAGAAAACAGGGGCTGAAGGAGAGTGTGAGTTTACTCTGTCCTGTGACAGGCTGGGGTGGGTGGTCCAGTGCTGAGAAGAGGGATGTGTCCATCCATTTCTTCATGAGGATTCCCCTGACATGAGTGGCCTCTGTCTTTTGGGTACCTCATGGTACAAAATAGTAGCCCCAGCTCCAGTCATTACACCTGCGCTCCCGCCAGCAGGAACTAGGAAGAGTTGAAGTCAAATGGCATAAAGGAATACAGTAGACAGATTTTTTTTTTTTTAGGAAAATTCCACCATGACTCCAGTTACAAACCACACTTGTGGGGGCTGGAGAGATGGCTCAGTGGTTAAGAGCACTGGCTGTTCTTCCAGAGGACCTGAGTTCAATTCCCAGATGGCTCGCAAACCACACTTTGTTCTGCTGCATCCAGTGTTTGAAGACTTATTAACACTACACATGGTAATGACGATTACAATATCAGACGTTGGTAACTACTGGTTACTCCCATGCAGATGGTTGTGGTTTCGATGTGAAAGGTCCCTCACAGGCTCATGTGCTTGAATGCTCATTTCCCTGTGTGGTCAGGGAACCTCCAGGGGGTGGAGCCTTGCTCAGCCCAGTCTCACTTCCGTTTTTTTCTCTGCTTTTAGACAGATTGCAGATGCAACGTGACCAACCAGCCTCCTGCCTGTGCCACCATGCCTTCCCAACCATGATGGAATATCACATCAAACTGAGTAGAACAGACCCTTCTTTAAACTGCTTATTGTCATAGCAACAAGAAAAATGACCACCACCCAGGGACAATTGTAAGTGCTCCCCACTCAGTCCTCACAATGACCTCACAGAGGCTAAATAATGTCCCCTAGATGTCCTCATCCAGTCCCTTAAACCTGTGACTGTTCCTTAGCATGGTGAAAGCTACGCTGTGGTGGTGAGTGGCCTAAGGATCTCGGTTGGTGATGTCACCCCTGATTACCCTGGTGGACTCACTGCAGTCCGAGGAGTCCTCATGTGAGGGAGGCAGGAGGTCAGAGGTCAGGCAAGACTCTGTGCCTACGACTTTGAAGGTGGGGGAGGTGGAGTCAACAAATGCTGCTGGCCTCTGGAAGCTGGAAAAGGGGGGCTGGGCCCTCCAGGAGGAGAGCTGTTTGGACCTTTCGAAGTCTCTCCAGGGCTGTGACAATGAGCGGGTGTTGTTTAGTCATTGTCTGTGACAGCCTGTTACAGCAGCCTCAGCAAACGGACACCGCTACGGTGTAGAAGCGGTTACCTTTCCTTTTGAAAAGGAGGAAACTGAGGCACAGAGAGGACACATAACCGGGCTTCCGGGTCGCGGGAGCAGTCCTGGTCAGGACCCTGGTGGGCTTGCTCAGAAATGCGGCCTCTCAGCTGACGTGGCTGCGTGGATGGTGTATGCTGCCTGGAGGAGTCAGCTTTGACTTTGTGCTTAGACTTAGGGGTCCAGTCTTGCAACAGTTTCATTTCACAGTTTCAGAAAATTTCAAACACACATGGATACAATGAGAATGAGGTCATGAAAGCCAGGCCCCTGTCAAACAGCCCACCCCACACCCGAACACCGGCTGCAACCAGCTCTCACTGGGTTCTGCCCCGTCCTTACATCTGTCTGAGGGAAACTAAACATGGCACATTTCATCTGTGGCTACCTGTAAAAGGTAAGGCGTCTTCTGTTCCCCAAAGCAAGATGCAGACAAGCCTGGAGCTGGGTTTACTGTAAAAGCCTGTGACAGGGCTCTGTGGACACATGGTCTCAACCCTAGCACTCAGTCCCAGGCTTTGATGACCCCGGACCCTTCCAAAGTGCCATTCATAAACAATACACTTTGCATCCGTACCCCTCAAAATGAAAAACCTGGCCATCGTAGGCATTTCCTCACCTCAGTGCCATCGTCTCAGGTTTCTGCTCTGTGTGCTGCTTGTTAGGATTCCAGCCACTCCTCCAGCTATAAGACCGCACACGCGAAGTTCAGTAGCTAAAGCAAAGGGTCTTACGTCCTACGTCATCTGTGTGCTGCGTGATTGCACAATCTGTCCATGCATGGCGCAGCTCCATAAGCCCACGTGCGCATGTGCAGGGGAATCCTTAAAAAGTCGGTCACAGACTCCTCCTCTCTCTCCTGCTCCCCCCCCCCCTTCTCATTATGTGTCTTTCCAACAGGCCTGGCCACACTCTCTTCTGTCCCCCCACCCCCAGGAAAGCTCTGATACTGGGTTTTGTTGTGCCTTGTGACCTTTCCTCACAGAGTAAAAACACTGCATTTAAAACCAACACTGCTGTGTGCGCCTCTCACTTTAAGAGCAGCAGGCAGTCCCCATGCCACGGTCTGGACACTGTGCCGCCTCGAAGTTTCCTTGGTCAGGTCAGTCCACTGCTTTTGAACTCAGCCTCACTCACATTTTCAGGACACATAGATGGCTTCTAGCCCAGTTCCTGATGGCGACCTGCTCCCCCATGAAGCCTTGTGAACCAGTCTTTACTGCCCACTTTTCCTCAGAAGCCTGGTCTTCCACACTCCCCAGAAGTGTTCTCTCTGTTAAGCTCCTTGCAGGGCTTCTCGGGCTCACCTTCCTCCATAAACCAGGCCCAAAGGCTACACACGGTGTGGCTCATTTACCATAGCAACGACCCCACGGCCCCACCCCTCAGCACCGACTTAGTTCCTTTCCTGTCACTGACAGAAATGACTCCAGGAAACAGGCTTTATTTTAGTAAGGGGTTGAGACGAGGCATGGCCCATCACCGTGGGACGGCATGGTAGCACGGCGTCACATCTGGAGGCAGAGAAAGAGGTTTTTTCCCCTCAGGTAAACCTTCCTGGAGACATGCCTCTGAGTGTGTCTGACTTGTACCTCTAGAGCCAGTCAAGTTGACAAGGGAAGTTAACAATCACAGCTGGAGTCCATGGATGGACCCAGACCTTGACACATTGGCCCAGGAGAAGGCTTTCTGACCCCTGGATTGGGCAGACAGGCGTGTGGAGTGTATCAGGGCAGGGTGCAGCCAGTGGGTGGCTGTAGGAAGATGTCCTCATGGGCATGCTTTAGACGCAGAGAGGTCAGGGCGACATGACAGGGAATAGGGAGTCATGTGTGAGGGGAAGGTGAGGCTGAGACTCAGGGTCTGCAAGGCCCTGGGGGGTGGAGTAATTCTGTCCTGAGACACAATGGGCTCCATCGCTCATCTTCAACTCACGGCTGGGAGAGGCCGGCCTCTCTTTCATGATTATTAGGAAATGTCCCACAGGAACAAACCCCCCCCCCCCCCACACACACACACATTTAACTTCACTTGGACTTCGGAAGCTTTTTTGATGCATCTCTCTCCTGCTCCTTGGCCTTCCTCTCGGCCTGTCCTCATGAACGCCTTGCCTCTCTGAGGCCACATCCCCAAGCCGTACAATTTCCTGTGCATTCCTGGGTGATTAAACACAAGCCCAGGTGCAGCTGTCACTCCGTGTCAACACCCACAGAGAAGGGACAGGAGGGACAAAGGACGTGATTATGAGGTCTCTGATAGAATCAGTCAGCACGGGGGAAATAACAGGCAGGTGACTTCTAGCTGATGGTGACATTTCATTGGATGCCTGGATTAGTGCGACTTTGAAACAAGGGCCAGTGGTGGACGACATACAGGAGCTCATAGAGTCCGCCTGGTGCTGGGAGTCAGGGGAACCCTGTGCTCACGGGAACTCACTAATTCTGTGCTTACTGAGCACTTACTGTGTGCCTGGCATGGCTGGCAGTGGTTCACAGTGACACCTTACAGTGTCCCTCACAGCCATGCAGAGGGGTTACAAAGCTGCTGGGTTCACAGAAGGGGGACCCACAGGTGTGGACAGAACCAAGGCAGCCCCTGAGCAGCACGGGATCCTGAGCTCTGTGATTTTAACACATGGTTCATGGTGCTCATCTGCTCCAATTGGAAAGCTAACTGATAGACCCTCTGTGAGGTCCTTGCTCCCTGCTAAAGCCGCCGAGCACACCTCTGTAATGAGTCTTTTTCTGTCCCGCCAGCCAGCTCCCAAATAATGACACGGAGAACTATGAAAGCTCAGCCTATAGCTTAGCTGGTCCTAATGAGCTCTTATAACTTAACTTAACCCATTTATATTAATCTGCGTTCTATCACGTGGTGTTACCTCTCTTCCATCTTGCACCTCCTCTTTCCTCTCTGTCTCCTGGCTTCTCTCCATGGACTAGATTCCTCCACCTCTTCCTTTCTCCCCCTGGAAATCCGGCCTGTACCTCACGCCTAACTATTCACCGTTCAGCTTTTTATTGCGCCAATCACAGCAATACACTTTCACACAGTGTACAACTATCCCACAACACACCTCAGGTTCGAACACCCTTCTCTCTGAGTGCCTGCACATAAGTGACCAAGGCACATGCATGCTTGTAATGTGTGCACAGATGTTGGCACACATGAGCAGGGACATTCTGTTAGGAGTATGCTGATGTGTACATGTATGTTACAGAAGAGCAGGGGCCTGGATTCAGGTGACCAGGATTTGAAGTCAGGCTCAGCCACTCACTAGCCCATGACCTCGCTGATGACTTAACCCCTTGGTGTCTGTGTCCTCCTCTGCCCCACGGTGACAGTCAGCCGACATCTTGTAGGGCTGCTGTGAAGAATCTGTGTGAAACTCTGGCTCAGGGCTGGCTCAGGGCTGGCTCAGGGCTGGCTCAGGGCTGGCTCAGGGCTGGCTCAGGGCTGGCACTGGGCACATTCCTGTCATACTGCCCCAGGTCTGTATGTCCTCCAGGCACAGCTGCATGTGGGGGTCTTGGGTGACTCAGAGGTGAGGCTCCTTTCCCCAGGGGTCCCCATCAAGGGCAGAGGGAGGGGCCCAGGCTGACAGAAACCTCAACCTGGTGTGCCACCTTTCCATGCCTCGTCTTCCTTCTCTGGAAATGGGGAGGCTGCTGAGATCAGCTGTGCTCCAGTGCTTGGGACTCTGCCAGGGCCAAGTCAGCGCCATAGTGCATCAGCAGCTCTCTGTCTCTGTCTCTGTCTCCCTCCCTCCCTCCCTCCCTCCCTCCCTCCCTCCCTCTCTCTCTCTCTCTCTCTCTCTCTCTCTCTCTCTCTCTCTCTCTCTCTCTGTGTGTACACATGTTCCAATGTATGTGGGTGGACTTGGTTTGTGTGTGTGCAAGCTCACATGTGCACTTATGTACACGTAGAGGCCACAGACAAACTCAGATGTTGTCCTCAGAAAGGCTGCCCACTTTGCTCTTTTGAGACGGTTTCAGTAGCCTGGTGCTCACCGGACAGGCCTGGCTGCTGCACACCTCTAATGAAACAACCCTAGGCCTCACTGTCATAATCCTTCCTCACCCAACTGCACATTTCCCCCTGTTTCTGCTCCGCATGCCGCCGTCTGTCACCTCCCGACCCTGGATTACAAGTGTGGACACCATGCCCGGTTTTTATTCTTATTTTTCCATGGGTTTTGGGATTTGAACTCAGGTCCTCATACTCTCCTGGCAAGTGCTTTACCGGCTGAGCTAACCCCGCAGCCCCAGCTCCTATTGTTCTTGTTGTTATTACTATGATTAGATTGTTATGGGAGGTTGTGGTCAATATGGTCCCCTGATCCTGCCGGACCTTTGCAGCTTCTCTTTCTAACCTGTCCCCTCAGCAGGCCCCTCCCAGGACCCCTTCCTCGGCCTGCAGGCTCTCCTCGTTCCTTCACAACAGTCTTAGACGGCTCCTTCACCCAGAACCCTGACTTGTCTTGCCCCAGGCAGAAGCCATCAACCTCTATCTTAAACATATGCATATTCCTCCACCAAAGAGTCCTATTTTTAGGAGAGCGTCCCATAGAAACCAAGGCTCATATATATGCGCATATATATGCATGCATATGCTGTGGATAATAAATATTCAAAGGTATTTATTCCAATGCTGATCATGGTTGATTATAGTTGATTATAGAACCTGAGAATATTTCGAAGCGCTGCACCGCCATTGAACGATGTTGCTGTCATCGGCACAGTGTGTATTGATGCTGCACTGTCTCTAGACAATGCCGTCTTTAGGAACCACCCTGGCACATGTGTGCGCCACTGAATGACCATAAGAATGCGCTGGGTCAGTGAGATGAGGTGGGGCTGCCAATTTTGTTTTTTTATCTTGACTCATATTGTCGTCTTGGTGTATTTTAATAACATAACAATAAGCCATCTACACACATGTGAACATGAGCATGCACACACATCGACACACTCAGACACACAGTTAAATATCCAGGAAGCAGCTTCTAGTGGAGAACCTGAAGACCCTTGAAGACTGACATCTGTCAGCTCAGAGGGGTTCCTGAAAAAGAGGAATAGAATCAGGAATCACCCAACATGCATGAGTGCGTGTGTGTGTTTATGCATGTGTGTGTTCATGTATGTGTGTGCGGTATGTGTGTGTATACAGCATGTATGTGTGCATGAGTGTGGTATACACATATGAGTGTGGTGTGCGTGTGTGTGAGTGGTGTATGTGTGTGTGCACACATATGTGTAGCCTTCGGACATGGGGAGGCTGGCTCACTCAGGGAATGAAGATTCTGTTCCTCTTCACCTGAGCAAGGGGCAGGAAGCCCCAGCAAGCCTCTGTGTTCTAGGTGTCTCACCTCATCCCGGGCAGGGGAGAACTACTCAGGGAAAGGCACTGGGTAAGAGGAACTCAGACGAGCAGACAGGCATCAGAAGACCTCAGCCTCTGGAACTGTACAGCCATGTGGGGGTAGCGGGTGGGGGGTGGGAGGATGTTAGCGGACTGTCACCTCTGGAGAGGCGCAGTGATGGAGCAGGGTGCCGCCTGCAGTCGGTAGGAGGAGCTGGAGTTGCTGGGTGACAGACCTGTGCACGGGACAGGCCCACACCGGGCAGGCTTGCACCCCGGGCAGGCTTGCACCCGGCTCTAGTTTGGAATGACTCGCCGCCAGCTGCTTCTGGCAGTCGGTAAACCTCACTTGCCGTGGTCTGAGCCCTGGAATTGAAGTTCTCTGAAGAAGCCACAACTATACTGAGGATCCTGTAGACCGTTTGACCTTGGCTAAATAAAACATCAGATTGTGGAGAGATGGAATTTGCTGACAGAGAGCTAAAGTTATCTTGAGCTGTCTTTAGCCATGAGCTAAAACAAATTGTTCCCCCATTAAATATTTTATCATTAAAAAGTTACTATTTTGTCTCATGGCTTCAGAGAATTCAGTCAAGGGTCACGGCTCCACATGCCTGGGGGAACAATGTGATACTGGGCATGTGCAGTAGAGGGTGTCTCCATTCACAAGGAGCACAGAGTAGAGGGGACTAAGGATCAGATAACCCTGAAGGTCCACCCGCAGTGATCGACTTCACCAGCTAGGAGGATCCACCTGCAGTGATCTACTTCACCAGCTAGGAGGATCTACCTGCAGTGATCTACTTCACCAGCTAGGAGGAGGATCCACTTACAGAGAGCTACTTCACCAGCTAGGATGAGGATCCACCCACAGTGAGCTACTTCACCAGCTAGGAGGATCCACCCACAGTGAGCTACTTCACCAGCTAGGAGGATCCACCCACAGTGAGCTACTTCACCAGCTAGGAGGATCCACCCACAGTGAGCTACTTCACCAGCTAGGAGGATCCACCTGCAGTGAGCTACTTCACCAGCTAGGTCCCACCTCCTCAAATTTCTGGAACCTTCCCAATTAGCTCCACCAACTCGACGTGTGAGCCTGTGGGGGATGTTTCTAGCAGCCACGACTGCCAAGCTCTGCATCCAACCTGTCTCCCTGTGACTAAAAATGAAGATCCTGGGATTCGCCATCCGGTAGAAGATGGCTTCCTGGATTGTAATAGCCATCTGCCTGATGCTTCCGTGATTAGCAGCAAGGGGACAGAGATGCAGTTAGACACTGTCACTGTCAGCTGCCTGAGGTATTCCCCAGGCCAGACTAGGCTTCATAGCTTCTGCACTGAAAAGAATTCCAGACTCAGCAGTGTGGTGAACTAGAATTGGTGATTTTATTAGAGATATTTAACATGGCCTTGAGTGTGGGGGTTAGGAGAAGAAAGAGGTGCTTAGAAGAGACTAAGACATTCATGGTGGAGGATGGGCTTCCCAAGAGGAGAAGGGAAAGTAAGACCTGCCCTAGGTGGGGATGGGCTTTTCAGAGAGAGAGAGAGAGACAGAGAGAGACAGAGAGAGAGAGAGAGAGAGAGAGAGAGAGAGAGAGAGAGAGGTTCTCAAGTTACATCTCAGCAGTTGCTAAGAAACCTCTCCATCCCACCTCTTCTCTCTCTGCAAACAGGGTTTCTAGAGAGATCTCTGGAAGTCTGCAGGTGCATCGTGGGAAGGGAGAAGGCCCTGGAGTCATTGGTTACTGTTGCAGAATTCCCGCTTCACTGCTGGAGAAGGCTTCAGCAGGATCCCAGAGTGAGGGCATCTCTCTCTTCTCAGGTCCTGGCCCCAGTTTCCCCGCCTCCTTATGCTCCTTCCCCTCCAATGTATTGACAAACACCTTGACTTGTTCATAACTTTCCTTTACCCGTGGCTCTAAAGCTGGCAGAGCAATCAGGTTCGGCTGGATCAGTGTTCTGGCTCAGGGCTGCTCATCTGTGGCTTACAACAAACGGTTTCCTTCCTTCTTCAAAGCAGAATTGCTATTTTATATCATCAATCCCAATGGAAGCTCCACTTTACGTGGGACCAGCGATGGCCCAGTTTAGACAGTTCCTCGCTTTCCTGGTGTGTTGGTGACTTTTGAATTGCTGTACCTAAAAAGCCTGATGGAGAAACTTGGGGGAGGAAAGAATCTCTGCCTCATGGTCTCAGAGAATTTCAGTCCATCACAGCGACAAGGCTCGGGGTGGTGGTGGAGGGGGGAGCAGCCCTGGGCATGGTAGCAGTGGTGTGGAGTGGAGGCCACTCACATGGCAGGGGACCAGGAAGCAGATGGGCGGTGGCCATGGCGTTAACTCTCAAGGCAAAACACCAAACCAAAATGACAACTCTTACCCTAAAGGGGATAAGAGGCAGTTTATTCTGTAGCCATTTTGAGTGACCCTCGCCAGGGAATGCAGATTTAGGTTACCCTAAATTCCATGTTCCAAAGTGGAAGCAGTTTCATGACGTTTTTATAGCTTTACAGAACAGAGAAAGTCATGAATCAAGGCAGGTTTAGAGTACATGGGTGGGAACAACAGAAAGGCGGCTGCAGAGAGATGGGGAAGCTTTTCTACAGGCCTCCGATGCTGTCTGATGACATTCCTAGCTTTGGGGTTGGTGGAAGCTGAGTTAGATTCCAGTCATCTGTTAGTCCTACGTTGTTAGTTCACACACAGAGGCGGGCAAGGAACGGCTGCTGCAGAGGACGAGGACCAGCCCGAGATAAGGTAATTAGCTTCTGAACCTGTCACGTTCCAACCTCTCCGCGCCAGCTCAGTGCTAACCAGTCAGTTCTGCAGACACAGCTGCCTTCCAGGGATTCTCAACAACGTGGTCAAGGGGGAGTTCGTATTTGTTTTGCTCAAAACTCTGCTAATGGTGATATCAGCAGCCGTGCGTCTTGTGGCATCTGGGGTACCCACTCCACACACTGGTCACGAGTTGTGGTTAGAAAGTTGACCTGTTCTTCATGGGCACTTGTGCCTGACTAAGCACTTGCCTGTGGGGAGAGCCTTGTCAAACTGCAAATTACTCCACCTCTACCGTTTTCCCTAGTTTGCTTTTTATGTTATAGTTTGGACATCAAATTAAGAAAACAACCCCCCCCAAAAAAATCAAGTATGGGGCCAGAGTGATGACCGAGAGGACTGGAATTCGGATCCCAGCACCCACATTGAGTGGTTCACAAAGGTCGGTAACTACATTTCCAGAAGATCTGCTGCCCCCTACTGGCAGGCAGACACACACACAAAATAATAAATCTTAAAAAGTATATAGATTATACTATACGACTTTCATTTCAAATTTTGACTAAAGTGAAAAGGAATTTTTGAAATTGTTTCTAAAGCAGCTTGGGGACTGTTAGGGCTGAGAGCAGCTTCCTAAGATACAGTTGTAGCTCTTTCCCCAGGGAGCCTGCGACCTCATTTGAAGGGGCTTTTTGAGTGCTTTTGCTAAATCGAGTCAGGTTTTCATAGCATGAGCTCCTTGATTTTCTTCTTATCTGGCAATTCCTCCTCTGCCAAGACTCCTCTTACGGCCACTGCCGGAGGCTGGTGTAATTTTTATCCTTACATCCTCGGGCTGTTGAAACACCCCTGGAATTGTCCCCATCAAGTGTGGCGACCTGGCTCCCGTTTATTACAGACGCTCCTGAGACCGCTGCCAAGTTTAGGCCACTGTCAGTGGGCAAATAATTTGTCCCTCTGCAGGAGACAGAGCGACGTCAACAGGAAAGAGCAGGGCAGGGGAGCTCAGTCCTGCAGATGGCAGGACACACAGAGGGCAGAGGGGAGGCCTCATTCACAGTCTGCAGCAGCCTGGTCCCAGAGCCCGGAGGCGGCTGTGGAAACCCTGGCCAGAGCAGCCAGTGCTCAGCACAGCCACAGAGGCTCCAGCAGGAGCAAATAGCACGGGTTCCCAGGACGCCAAGAAGCAGGAAATCAGCCAGAGGCTGACTGGTCCTTAGCGGGACACAATGTGGGTCATTCCATGTGGAATCCAGGCCTTTTAGCTGATGCTCAGCACAGTGACTGGTTCTCACAGGGGGTGTGGGGGGGGGATGGTGACTTAGCAGCCAGGGGAGGTCTCTTGGATACCGGGGGAGCTGTCACTATGATTCATGGCACCTCTGTCATCACAGGGAGCCTTTTGAGATGCAAAGTCAAACATTGTCTAGACACACAGCAGGGGGCCAGAGGTCTTGTGCTGTCCTGTTGTAGCCCAAGGAATGGGACCGGAGGCACACAGACAGACAGACATGCATGCGTGTGCGTGTGTGCGCACACACAAACACACACAGACAGAGAGACAGAGACAGAGATCACTTATAAATGATCACTTAGGCCCTATGAACACTAGTTGATGATTATTCCATACCAGGCTCTGCTCTGAAGCTATCAGATAAATGCCCCGATTGATTCTCATCTGTGACCATCATTGGCCCCATTCCACAGAGGAGGAGAGCAAGATTAAGGAGACGTTCAGTGATCACACGGTGAACCTGAGGAGCTGGCCCAGAACCCACATGGTTGGACACTCACTCTGCAGAGAACAAGTGCATAGTCATAACAGGATACCTTACAGCCTGCAGACGAAGGTGCGTGGGAAGTGTGTCTCTGCCTCTTCATCCAGCCAGGACTTCGGGGTCTTGGGGGAACTGCCCAAAAGCATTTTTTTCCTCAGCAAGAGATCATTCGAACTAGAAAGCATGGCCTCCTGGTGCATAAGCAGACACTTCCCTCATAGGTACGCACCAAGACAAGTTCTAGAGTCCTTGAAGAACTGCCTTCTGCCTGGCCCCTCTGGGATAGGACCTAGGACACTGGACCCTCCATGGGGCAATGTTCTCCTTGAACTTGGCAAGACCTAGGTGGCCCAGTAGTGAGATTGCTTATCCTGCTTAATGTTTCTGAACAGAACCATCCAGATACCCCTTGGTGTCCCCTTATCTGCTGTCATATTAACAGAACCTCAGGTTTCCCAGCATAAAACTCACCTTCTCACATGTCCATGGTTTGAGTTGGTCACATGGCTGCATTCTGGTCAGTAGGAAGAGAAGGGACGGTCTGACTTCCAGGTTGTGCCCTTCTACAGGAGAGTCTCTTTGTCCATCTTCTTCCTGCTGGTGGGAGTGTGACTCTGCCGGGGAGCCTACTTTATGCCACCTGGGTGAGAACAACATTCCAGGAGGGTGGAGCCTCAGGCAGGGCCTGTCCCCAGATTCTTGGAACTGCAGCGTTGGGTCCCGGTGGATGGGGCCCGGTTGCAGGCTTGGCCTCTGTGTCTCCTCTGCCCACAAGACCTGAGTTCTTTTGTCAGTCTTTGCTTGAAAACTCCCAACCCCCCTGACTCCACCTACCCTCTGAACTATCCCCCATCCCTGGAGAGGGACCAGCATGCAACTGTGGCCTGGGAGTCAGTGAAGCCCCTCCCTCACCTCTCCTAGCCACGCCTGAGTGTTTGTGACCTTGGTCTAGGAAAGGGTCACCTGCAAGCGTGCTGCTGGGCCAGAAGCTCAGACTGGTTCTGTGGTCTCGGGACGTCCTTGACTTCGAAGCACACTAAGGCAGTCATGGATGTTGTCGTGAAGTGGAGGCTGGGTCTCATTCTGTTACAGGTGACAGGACGAGAGCTGGGAGTCTGGACAGGCCTCAAACTGTGGCAGACAGTGAAGGAAGTTAGAGAGCAAGACAGGAATGGCACCGATGGGGGAGGCCTGTGACGCCAGTCAGACCCAGGCCTTCCCACATCTACCCCATCCCAAGCTGCTGGCTCTTGGTGTCGCCTGTGACCTCCACTTCCGAGGCCCTTGGCCTTTTGTCGGCCTCCATCAAGAAGGAAGGAGGAGGAGAGAGAGGAGGAAGAGGCTAAGGAGGGAAGCCTATTTTTCCAGAAGCAGCCGTCTGCTTCCACCATTGGCTAGAGCTGTGTCACATGACTTAGCAGAGCAAGGAGCCTGGACAGTACACACAGAGCCACGTCCATCATGGTCTTGTTGGTAGGGAGCAAGGGCACGTGGGACAGGACATGGCAGTATCTGCCACAGTCTAATGATCTGGCTGACACGCTGTTAGTAGAGGACCATGGTGCCCATCTCCCCAGACAGCTGTGCTGAGTGATGGAGGCCATTTTATAGGCTCCCATCCCAAAGATTCCACCTGGGCTTGGGTTAACCTGAGCAGCCAGTATATCCCTCAGAAACCTCCCCGAATCTCTACTGTCTATACACAGCCTCCTAACAGCACCTGAGTTAGCTCATTTGAGGTACCCAACCCCATCACCCCAATTCCAGGCATCTTCAGCCTGTGGAGCCTCAATAGTTACCATGTGCAGACTTGCTGAGGTGTCACAAGCCCTGTCTGGAGCCCACCACCATCTCCAGCAGTTTGGAGGCCATTCAGGAAAGAAATTGCCATTCTGTAGGAGCCACAGTGACTGTTATTTCTGCTCAGAAACAGCCCTGGGTTCTTCACATAGGGCTAGTGACAGGTCCCACTGCCTTTGCTCAGCCATGCATATCACCTGGTGATGCTGTAATGAGCGAGTTGTAGCTTTGGATGAGTGCATATAAAATCCCTGCCCTATGTGTAGTCTTGGCCCAGGTGTCAGGAGAATCTTGGACACACAAGGTGTGGTGTCATTCACAGTGGTGGATTCAGACCATCTGAGATGCCCTGACCTGCGGGTTATGGTGCAGACAGCTGGGTGGGCAGGGTGTGCATTCCATGCTCTGTTACAGTGTCCACAGATACTTCCTCCAGAAATAAAATACAGCCTCAGAAAATAAGCTGAGCACATCAAATACCCAGAGTGGCTGTTCCAGCCGGAAGAACACAATGACCCACATGCACCCACAACCTGGAATCAGCGGCCCACAGGACTGGTCTCACCGCTCTCTCCCTAGTCTCTGAGGACCTGTTTGAAAGTGGATCCCAGAGCTCCGGCAATATCTTCTTAGACCTCTGCAAGATCCCGATGACCTCTAGTGCTTGGAGAGCCCCTGACAGCTGCCACATGCCTTTCACTGGCTGCTTTTCCAGAAGTTTGGTAAGCGCTGCTCAACATTCAGTCTGTAGGAGACAGTCACATCTGGAACCACCCCTTTGCTGTGTCATGGTGTCTGTCACCCGCTAATTGCTTCCCCTTGGAAGGACAGGTGAGCACTGAGTGGCCCTGGAAAGGGGTGACAGTTTCAATTAAAGTAGCTGGGCATGTTGACACTCAAAGGATCAGCTCTTCAAATTGGCTTTGGCAGGTGACAGGGCATGTTGTGGGGTGTCCTGGGTCACTGCCGATAGCACTGCCTGTGAGTGCCCGGCCACCTGACCCCCCACTGCTAACCGCTATTGCAGGCCATGTCTCTTCAGTCAGCGCACTGGCCTGGGTAGTTCCATTTCTACACAGCCTGTCTCAGGAGGAAGAGAATGGCCCCGAGAGGAGAAGGTTCTCTTAGTTGCTCTTGAACCCCAAGGGTCCTGCTCAGGATGGAGCACTGATAGCAGGGGTAAGGGCTGTCAGTCATTCCGGCCCCTCAGCCAGCTTCCGGCTGCTCACGTCATCACTCTCCTCTGAGATAGAAACTGTGACTGTCCTGGGAGCTCCTAAGGGTGCTGACTCCTGTAAGATGTGAATATCCCTGCAGCTGCCTCATGGGGATGATTCTAGAAGGGGTTGGCTCCAGGTTCTCCTTCTGCTGGAGGGAGTGGTGAGGTCCCTGAAAGGATTCGGTCTTCCCAAGGGACCCTTCAGATAAGAGAATCCCCTGGGTGGGGTGGGGTGAATGACCTCTAACTGACCTTTCGGGTGTGTGACATTGTCAGGTTTGGGATGTCCTCAGCTGAGTGCCTTCTGCAGGGTCATATGAAAGGTATAAGGCAGAACCGGATTTGAACGCAGATCTTCGGGACTTGAAAGCTCCCCGGCTTCACCCGCAGCTGCGTGGTGGTCGCTCTCACGGTTTCCCTCGGAGGCCATTTTTCATCACTGTCTCATTAAGGAAAAGTAGGTTTAGATGAATTCTTCTCCAAGGACCCCAGCTTGTGTTAGCCTGTCCCTACTGAGCAGATGTGAGAGACTGTCACTGCCCCCACGGCTGTGGAAAGAGTCAATGCCAAGTGTCCATCACTCGAGCTCTTACCGCTAATAGCCCAGCGGAAACCAGAAAGCACTTTACGGTGGCCTCACACTGCAGCTATTTTCTTGGTTCCAGCATGACCTTTGCCCGAGAGCGTCACAGGCCTGAAGTGTTTGCTGTCACCTGGGAAGGGAGGCTACCGGGTGCCACTGAAGATGGAATGTCTCCTTGTGTGGAGACCCTGAGCCAGGCCAGCCAGGCTTGGACAGGCAACACACTGCAGAATTCCACCATGGCTCTATCTCTCCTGGTCAGGCTTTGGGGCCAGGACGATGACATCAGTGCCCACGTGTCCTTGTCTCAGAGGTGGGGAGAGAGGACCACAGAGAGAACCCAGAACAGGACTCTGGGGGATGGGACAGCCGGGGACGGTCAGATGTGTGTTGATGAGCTCGGCTCCACGCCTGATCCTGTCAAGATGGGTGTGTGTGACAACTCTCTTTGAAGGTGGTGGGATCAAATAATTATAATGTCCCCAAAGCCCTCTGCTTCAGCAGAGAAAAGCTGTAACTCTAGGTGACCAGTCGGGGTTGTGATTAGGCTCTGCTGCTGCGGAAGGGAATTTTCCTCACAGAGCGGTTTTTCAGCCCATTTGGAAGTTTACTGTGGAGTGAGGATGTGAAGCCCAGGATGTCTCAACACTAGGAGCCAGTAACAGTGAGAAATGGGGTTTGCTGGGTGCATCAGGCCAATCATAGCCTGCTCCTGAGGCTGGAGGTGTAGTCAGCCCCAGGGACTGCTGGGTGGGGAGGTGGAGAAGGATCAGGTGCCCACAGCAAGGGGGGAAGGAAAAGTGCGGGGGGAGACACACGACCTCACTTGGCCAAATGGGAAGTGACATCACGACACTTCCCACAGTTCTGCTGTGTTGTCCTGAGGGTCAGAAGAGGCAGGAGATTCAGTGTTCTGAATCATAAAGCTGACAGCTGTAGGTGGAGGGACAGTGTGATAATTGCTGTGAGGTTCAACACCCCAAAAGTTATTAAAGTGAAGTTGGTTCTTTCAGGATGACAGAGCACCCGGTGTCCAATATCTCAATTAAACAAACTAAAATATCCTCTCGCAACATTGTGAAACCAGTATTGCACAAAATTGAATTTTTAATTAAAATTAAAGTTTCATTACACAAGTGTATCCCTCTGTAGCAAAGCCATCAAAGGATGAGTTCAAGTCCCCAAGTCACAGCATGTATGTGACAGTGGGTGTGTGGAGCACACGGGAATACCGAGGGTCAGAGAACACCCAGCATGTCGGTACCTGCTGGGTCCAAGTAGACCGGAGAGACACTTGGGCAACTGTGTGTATACGGGTGTGTCTCACTACAGCTAAGGCATGGCCACATGGCCTCTAGTGTGGGCCTTACACTGAACATGCATGTGTCTGTGTGCACATGGCCATACCCTGTCCAGGTCTGTGCACACAAGACTGCCTCCTCCCCTGTGCTAGCATTCTTCAGGAGAATCCTATGTACTTCGTACCCCATCTTGTCTCAGGATATCTGGGTAGACTCCAATTTCCTAACATTCCAAATTGTAAGAGGGCTGTCCCATGTTGTAGACGCGCGTGGAGGATGTAGGGTGGGCACTGGAAACCTCCCCGGATGCTGACACATTCTCTCCAGAAAGGGACATTTGACTTCAGACTGCTCTCCCTGGAGTGTTCATCAATGGAAGGAAACTAACGAACAACTGATTTTGTCAGGGATGGGCTAGGCCAAGTTCACCCTGAGAAGGACCCTCGGCCTCAGAGGTGAGGCTTGAGCATAGAGAGCTGGAAGAGCAGACTGCATCCTCTTCACAGGGGGGCAGGGCTGACATGGCAGGTCCTTCGCCATGTCCTGGGTACTATTCTACACGCTCTGCATTTCACTTACGTTCTGTCCTGTGCCATGAGGCACTACGCTGTGATGAAGGGCCTTGTTGCTATCGTGGGGAGGGGCAGCTGGGCAGAGTGATGAAGACACTTATATGCAGAACTGAAGCCTGGGCATTGTGGTTCTTGAAACCAGGGTAAGAATGAAGCCACATGTCCCAGGACTAGCCTCCAGGGCCTCAGCAAAGGTGGCCTCTGTGGTTGAAATCATTCTTTGCCTGGACAGGTCCCATCTGTACAGCAAGAGTGACCTGCAGGGCTTTTGGACTACTTTGGAAGGTTTTGGCCAGTTTGGCCTTAGCTAAAATATGCAGCCCAGGCTGGCTTGAGCCTGGATAGGCTGGAAGCAGACTGGCCAGACTCTTGGGGGTGCTCTTTAAGCAAAGGCTGAGAAACACCGAGTGAGAGGGAAATTGGCTGAAATGACATCCCTTTTCTCCACATAGTGTGAAGTCTTTGCTGGGATGGAGAAGACGGATCACAGTGTGTAAGTCTGTTAAAAAGCCACGGCGTCTTCCCGCTGCAGGAGAGAACAGAAGAACCGACTCAGCGCTCTGAGGAAACATCTTCTCTCTCCCTGCCAAGGGACAGACTTACAAAGGATGATATTTACATTTTCTCCAAGCCTCTAATTTTCTCATTTATCATTTGTCAGAGCCTGAGGCCGTTCCTCAGCACATGGTGTTTGCCAGCAGCTAATGATCCCTTTACCAAACATCACAGCCCTACCAGAAGCTTCCTTAATGTCACTGAGGCTGCTGATTTAACGTGCTAGGATCTCATTGGGCCGTCACAGGCAGGTCTCAGGCCCCTGGATCACTCCTTCAGCCAGCCTAGCCACCAGTTCCTGAGGTAATGGCTGAGCACTGAGGGGCTTCCAGAACGGTATTTGAGGGGGTCAGGAACCTAGCCCACACATTCTGAACGTGCCCCATGGGAAGCATTGAGATGGTGGCACCATCACTAGCCGACAGGAGCAGAGCAGCCAGGCATTGCCCTTAGTGGTGATCAGTTTGGGCCCTGCCTTAAGTGACTCCATTTTGTAAAGCAGCAGCTTGCTTCATTCTGAGTGCAAATCCTGAGACAGAATAACAAGTCAACAGTCTTCATCGGGGCCAACAAGAGGGCTCATTGGGTAAGGGCACTTGCTGCCAATCCTGATGACCTGAGTTTGATTCCCAGGATCGGAAGGAAAGAAGCTCTCTTAAATTGTCCTCTGACTTCCACGTTCTTCCTTTCCCAACACACACACACACACACACACACACACACACACACACACACAATGAATCAATAAATAAAAATGTAATAAAAAATTAAGAACAACAGCTGCCATCTGTTCAGTACAAACCGTGGAGTACTGAATGGCACATAATTTATTTACACGGATAAAATTTTACCACCTGCGAGCTTACCAAGTCAAATCAGGAACACACAGACACGTGGGCATATTGAAACCACACCAGAAACACCAGGTCTGTGAGCTTAGTCGTACCAGATGTAAACCCTCATGCTGGGAGCACCCCAACACTGAGACGTGGTAGGCCACTAAGCCATCACTTGGTTACTCTTAGTCTGGAAAAATTGTCTTGGGAAAAGACCTCCACGTCTGCCCCCAAGCTCCAGCACAAGTATAGTTTTCCATGCTGAGGACACACAGCCTACCTCAAAATGACACTCAAAATGGCTGGCCCATTCTGCAGTTGACAGCAGTAAGCCTGTGTGTGAGCTAAGCGTTGATATGGTCACTGAAGCTAGCGAGGCCAGGTCTACCAAGTGAAGGTGGGAGGCTTGGTGAATTGCAGACAACGAATTGTCACAGCTTCTGAACTTACTGATACTCTACATACCTTGGACATCATGGAAAGGTGTGTGTCCATCTTGTTTCTGTCGTAGCCCATCTGTGACACACTGGGAACACTGACCAGAGAGGCCGACGCATTGGCTACAAGGGTGGGATTTCGGCACCAAAGTCGGTGTGGCTTTGCTTTGTGGAATCAGGCAAAAACAACACACAAAAGCCTCCAAGTTACTTTAACCAGGGCCAGGGACTATTTCCTGTTTTCTCTTCCTGAGAACTATGGTTCAGCTCATCGGGACTCTGTTCCCACACTTCAATTGCTCACCCTGGCAACAGTTCCCTTGGGCACAGGTTCCCATGGGTTTAGGCCAAAAGCCTGTGCTCAGGGGCTGAACTCTGGTGCCTGGGTAGAGTTTGTATGTGTTTTTGTTTTGTTTTTCTGTCATTAGACAGTGAAGGACTCACTGTGGTCTCTGGTGTAGAGAAAGCCCGTTGGATGTCGGCATGTTGGATGTCGGCATGTTGGCTTGCCCTCCATTTTTCGGCCTTCCTTTCTCTATTTGCCAAATTAAGACAAAAAAGAGCAAGCTGATTTTGTTTACAACACCTTTGCTGGAGACCATTCACTTGTGTCCCTTGCCAATGACTGTGCTGTGGGGTTTATCACTAAGTAACCATCATCACCATCAACATTATCACCATCACCATTTTATCATTGTCACCATCATCATTATCATCATCACCATCAACGTTACCACCTTCATCATCACAATTAACATTATCACCATCATCATCACCGTCAACATTATCACTCTCATCATCACCATCAACGTCATCACCATCATCATCACAATTAACATTATCACCATCATCATCACCATCAACATTATCACCATCACCATTTTATCATTGTCGCCATCATCATTATCACTCTCATCATCACCATCAACGTTACACCATCATCACCATCAACATTCTATCATTATCATTGTCATATATGTCTTTGGAGGAGAACAAAAATCTTCCCAGTGTATTAGAAGTCAAGGAGACCACATTAGTTATCAAGAGGCAGAGGACATGGACTTCAAGAAGCTTCTAGAAGTTCCAGAGAATAGTGTGCTGTGGCCCTTCACAGTCTCCACCATCCTTGCTCCTGGCTACTCTCTGGAACTCCTCAGCTGACTCCTGGATGTTGAGTGACCTGAAGACTTGAGAGCACAGGGATTCCTAAGTGTTCATGGCCTTAGGGGTCATTTCTAGCCATCTGGTTGCTGCTGCTGGGTATTGGGGCTGGAAGCTCAGGGTTTTGTCTGCTCTTCATGTTCCTAGATTGGCCTGCTGAACTCTGCAATGAAGACTACAGCTAGGCAGTGAAAGAGCATTCACTCCGGAGAGACTTTCACTGGGGCCTAGTGTTGCATCAGGCGGGTAGGAGTATGGCAGCACTGCGTATTAGTCAGGGTTCTCTAGAGGCATAGAGCTGATACTTCTGCCTTCGGGCCCTTGTGTCGCTGTCTGTGATTTGGTTGGGATTGGCCTGTGTTGCTGGCATGTAAACTCTGGGGGCAGGTGCTAGAGTTTGTAAGTCCTGTGGTGACCACAGGGACAGAGTGGAGCCTGTCTGTGAGTCCCTGAGAAGCAGAGGAAGGAACAAGGCCAGCAGAAGAATGTCACACTGCCATCTAAGCGGGCTGCTGCTGTATACAGCCTTCTCTCCCTCCTCCCCCTCTGCATGAGGTGACTGCTGCCCCCAAGACTGCATTCTGCTTCTTCAACTCAAACATCCTTCCAGACTGAGTGTAAACACCGTTCACCCACCTCCCCATGAGCACCAGTGTCATGGCCCCCACCACCACAGCCTTTGTTATGGGAGCTGGTTCAGAGTTCGCCTGTAGGGGAGCAGCTGGGCTTTGCCGGATGTTCTGCCTCTGGTTTTTACCTCGTTAATATTGGGAACACTCACCTCCAGCTGTGACAACCAGAATGTCTATAAACAATAGCCAGTGTCCCCTGGATAGAAAACATGCCTCAGGTTGAGGGTCATGCCTCTTTTGTACCGATATCACCATGGTTTATTGCCATAGCAACGTAATGCATTTTAGCATTTGGCTTTTCATTTCTGCTTCTTTCAACATGAACCCCTCTCACAGACTAATCGGAACCAGCTGGGAGAGTGGCTACTCGACATCGAGTGTCCTTCATAGTGAAGGGACAGTTCAGTGCAGAGAAGCCACACACCTCACACTTGTGTTGTGTCTGCATGCGGAGCCCACATCCCTGGGACAGGACCGGATTGGACCTCTTGCCGCATGGCTGCTAAGCAACAACTCACAGCCTAATGTAGTAAATAAACTGAAACCAAACTCAGGAGTGTGGTTTTTGTAACACAGAGCCGACTTTCAGCCAATCCCAGGCATCTACCTCATTACACAATGCCCCAAAGAGGCAGGCCCCCGCCCCAGCCAATCAGGCGGTGTCTCTACCTTGGTCTACACTATGTAGGTAACAGCTCCTGCTTGGGCTGCGCTTGTACTGCCCCGCAGCATGCTCGACTTTTCCTCCGTCCCAGGGAGGCCTGCTGCAGCGACATTTGTTCCTCAGCTCAGCCAGTTCCGAGCTTAGTTCTTTGCAGACACTCCTGTGTTTGATGGCTGTTGGGCACAAGAGAATCTCAGCATAGCCTTCTGTGACAGCCTGTGTCTCCCCTGGCACCCTCCGAGTCCTCAGCTCCTATCCCAGGAGCTCTTCACACACACTGTTCAACCCCCATGATAGATGTTACAATTTATAAAAGAAAGTACATCCACAGAAAGGAATCTAAGACAAAATTACCCTTCGGATGAGCCTCACAAGCAAGGGCATCATAGCAGAGGCAGCATGATGGGGGATTGAGGGGAGAGAGTAAGCCTTCAGTTCCATAGGACCATGTGGCTTCCAGGGTCTTAAGGCTTTCAGGGGGCGGGTTCCGTAGCACGTGACTTAGAATGGCCTAGCCTACTTGTCAAGGATCATGGCAACAGGTGTTAGACATGACCCCAAACTCACCCTGTAGCTGCAAAGGGGAGAGAGCCCTGCAAGGCCATAGCTTGGCAGGCTTTCTTATCATCTCTAGGGAGAGAGACTGCAGTGAGGGGTGTGGCTTGATCTCTGGGAGAGAGCCGAGGGGGCAGCTAAGACGGTCTACCATTAGGTGTCAGGGTTATTTACACAGCCCAGGAAACTGAGACACAGAATGTGCTCACTCGCAGAGAGTAAGAGGCTTTGTCCTGAGGGGCCTGTCGTCCAAGGCATTGCCTAGCCCATTCTCCTAAGACACCACCTCTCCAAGTGGTGCATGATTTGCTGGATGCTTAGGCATGCCTGCCTTTTTGCTGCCCAGAGCTCTGGATCTTTCCAACTTGACTCAGTTTCCCCTGTGGGGGAGAGACTTGTGTCTCAGCGTGTCTTTCAGAGTCTAGCAGCCTTCTTGGGTTCAGGGAAGAGGGTGCTGGGATTTGTGTCACAGAAGTGAACTGTATCTTATGTACTCACACTCCATCACACCCAAGGGTATGGTCACAGAAAACACTCGGCAGGTGTGATGGCTACTTTTGGTTGTTAACTACAACTGGAATTAACTAAAAACCCCAAATGGAGGGCGCACCTGTGAGGGATTTTTGCTTAATTTGAAGAGGGAAGATCTAATCCAGATCTTTGCGGTAGGAAGGCATGCCTTTAATCTGGATATTGAGTTGGGAAGACACACTTTTTTGGTTTGTTTTTGTTTTTCGAGACAGGGTTTCTCTGTGCAACAGTCCTGGCTGTCCTGGAACTCACTTTGTAGACCAGGCTGGCCTTGAACTCACTGAGATTTGCCTGCCTCTGCCTCCCAAGTGCTGGGATTAAAGTGGTGTGCCACCACTTCCCATCCGGAAGACACACTTTTAATCCAGATCTTTTGAGCTGGGAAAACCCACTTCTAACCTGGGCCACACCCGCTGCTGGAAGCCTATATAATGACATGGAAGAAAGACGTTCTCTCTTTGCCTGCTTGCTCTCGCCTTGCTAACAAGTCCATTCCTTCACTGGCATTAGAGCCTGCTTTGGGATTCCAGCATACACTGAAGACCAGCTGAGCAGCCTGTGGACTGAGCAACTACTGGATTCTTGGGCTTTCCATTCATAGCTAGCCATTGTTGGATTAGCTAGACCGCAGCCTGTAAGTCATTCTAATAATCCTTTTTTATCTATCCATCTTTATCTTTATCTCTGTCTCTGTGTCTCTCTATCTATCTAGCTTTCTATCATCTATCTATCGATATCCATTCTATAAGTTCTGTTACTCTAGAGGACCCTAACACAGCTGAGTAATAGAAATGCCTTCTCTCTTTAGGAGAGTGGAGGTTACAGACAACATTCTGTGGCAGCATTGACTGTTATGAGACCATGAGGAAAGTGAATAGGTATGAAGGGTCTAGTGTCAGGGACATAAGGGCCACAAAGAAGTATAAAACGCACTGCTGACTGAATACACGCCTGGAGTCCTCCCCAGATACAAAAGCTAATATACTCCTTTACTTCTTAGTTCAGCTTGGCTTTTGTGTTGCTGCTGGCAACCCTGCGTATTCTAAGCGACATCCTCCTACTTCTTCCTAGTGGGGTCAGAGAGAGGGCACATGAGAGGCTGCCTGCGTCTTGAAAGGGAAATCCTTCTATAGGCAGAGGACTAACCTACACGCCTTGTGAGAGTTTTCCCAACTCAATAACATGACAAACCCACAGGAAACTCAAAAGTGTGTGCATGTGAGCGTGTGTGCGTGCGTGCGTGCATGTGTGTGTGTGTGTGTGTGTGTGTGTGTGTGTGTGTGTTTTCCAATAACCTATTTATCTGTGAACTTATCAATGGATTAATCCTTTGATGAGGTTAGCACCCCTAAGATCCAGTGACTATCAAGGCCCCACCTCTGCACAGTCTGCCTTGGGACTAAGCTTCAGCACACAAGTCTTTCAGGAAGCAGTTCATGTCCAGGTCATAATATCCTACCCTTAACCTCCACATCCCAGTGCGTAGCTAGCTCATCATGCAAATGCACTCAGCCCATTACCAAGACCCCTCTCTTAACAGTTCCTGCATTGTAAAAGTTCAAGTCAAAATCTCCATGGGGAGTTAAGGCAACTCAAATAAAGAACCAGGTTACACA